CATGCTTTTTCCTTCCTTCCCTGTAGAGGTTTCGGTGCAACAAATCAATCTTGTAAATTACCACATATTATAATAAATTGTCCGTGTAAATTAATTTGGCATTGAAATCCATTAATTAACCAGCTGATGCATAGCAGCTGTTGACTCTACTGTGCCGTGAAAAGATTTTCTGGACCTACCTAGACGGCCCAAATATGAACTGAGATCGTATTTGGAGACAAAAAAGTCCTCCCACGTTAGGAACTGTTAGACCAAGCCTAATGTTTCTCACGATGCATCTTGATGATGTGTTCTTTTTATAGTATTATTCTTAAAGGGAGAAAGTAAAGGAGATTAAAGCTAAATTGGTTGAATATAGGTAATCCTCATGGGAAGCTTCAAAAACGTTTTTTGCTATTGCAACTATTATCACTTCTCAGCTTGCCAACAAAACCATGTGGGGAGGGAAAGGGTAGATACTCTGTTTCCCCAAAAATACAACCTACCCTGAAAGTTAGTCCTAGCGTGATTTTTACATGTGAGTCCGATATAAGCCCTACCCCCAAAATAAGCCCTAATTAAGATCCCACCCACTCCACTATGCACGGGTAAAAATTAAGCTAGGGTGGGGAGGGGGGTGGGTGGAGCTGCCCTACTACTTACCTTTGGACAGGGACCACCCTGGAAACAGTGAGGGACCATCCCACAGTGCCTCAACCAGCAAAAACGGACTCCCGAGCTCCATTTCCGGCTGCGATGGCTTCCTGCAACCCTCTGCCAGTGAAAACAGAGCTCCATTTTCTCTGGCAGAGGATCGCAGGAGGCCATCGCAGCCAGAAACGGAGCTTGGGAGCCCATTTTCACTGGCAGAGCCCTCAGGCCACCACAGGGGAACCTGACATGAGTGACGTTAACAGGCCATGTCCCTCTGACCACACCCACTCTGGCCCCCTGTCAAACACAACCCTGACATGTCCCTCAGTGAAATCAAGTTTGACACCCCTGTCTTAACTGCAATGATTCACTTGACAACCAGGGCAAAAGTTGTAAAATTGGCTGTGACTCCCTGAGCAGCTGCCTTGCTTAGCAACATAAATTCTAGTCCCAATTTTGATCATAAGTCAAAGACTACATTGTACCTCCGGCCTTACTGGGAAGAAGAGAAACAAACCCACTTCTCCTAACATCTATTTTGCTTTATGTGGGCAAGAATCACCTGTTATAAGCTATCTGGCTTCACCCATCCTGGGTTTAGAGAATGCATAAGAGCCAAGGAAGCAACTTGATGTAGATCTATCTATAGCCCATTATGCAAACATGTATTTTTCTGTCTTCCTCCACAAAGTTCATGATAGGTTCCAGAGAACATTCTCAACTTACTCTTTGCAGCTTGGCTCAGAGCCAAGGATCATTGTGACTCAGCAAGTATTGCAAATTGGGGTGTGCTTTTTTCCTCCTCATGTGCAAAGGAATATGATGCTACAGGACCCGACACCAATTATTTTGAGTCCTGTTAAGTAGACAGGTTTCCTAGCCACTCAGAGATGCATTTTAAGGGGAGAATCGTTGTTAAGATGGCATATGCTTCAACTCTAAGGACCAGTCTGGTTTAAGATGACCCTATGCAGCTGGTACATCAATCACGCACACATGACTCAGTTGTTCCCTGAGGTACAAGGTGAACAGCCAACATCTAAAAATCCTTCCCTGACATCAGCTTTCAATTGTGGCTGCATCTGAATGTTCTGTTCTGCTATGGTTGAACTACTAATAAATCGTAAGAGCAAATCATAGGTGGACAAGCCCATAAAACACGGTTTACAATCCCAGTGCAATGTTAAATAATATGCAATGTTAAAAAAAATATGGCTTGATACGTTGAAATGTATTTGGAGATCGTAAAACTGAAAAGGGACACTTTGGTTGTGTTTTATTCCTTGTGTTAAACAGTTGTGTTCACTTAATATTTAATGCCTGATTACAAACTTAATGCTGGCCTGGTTTATTCAACAGATCAAGACCAGGAGGGTTTGGAAAATCTCCCACCGTGCTGGATCCTAAAGCACCTGAACAGGTTACAACCAGAGGTGGTATTCAGCCAGTTCGGACTGGTTCTGGCATATCAGTGGTGAAAATTTTGAGTAGTTCGGAGAACCGGCAAATACCACCTCTGGCTGGCCCCGGCCACTCATCCCTGCCATTTCCTGTCCTATATTCCCTTGGTTTTTTAGCTCAGCTGATTCATGTGGCAGAGCAAGTTGCTGCACCTCAGCTGAGCTAAAAGACTAAAAGACAGCTCGCCTCATTAGCGCTGACAGGGTTGTCAGTACTGTGTGCGCGTGAACCAGCAGGGAGAAACGTGGAATCCCACCACTGACTATAACCTGCTTAACCCCAACGTGTGATCCTGTCCTTCATTGTGGAATTCATTACCTATTTTTCTACACTTCCTTTTTTTAACTCATTTTGGAGGGAGTTCCTGTGGACTATTGGGTCGTCCTAGGGTCTTAGCTTGGCTTTTCATCCAAGCACCAATGGGGGTGGGGCAGAGAGGTTGAACACCATGGTAGAGCACTATCTGCGCTACATAGCAGTGCTACGTGAATTATCAGTAATCTAACTGGGCGGACCTTCTGCCTTTTGCTGAGGTCGCGTACAATAATAATGCTGTTCACAGTAGCACGGGACTAACCCTCTTCAAAGTACTGAGCGACATGGACTTCGTCCCAGTGCCTGAGTATCCAAGGGATCCCCTCTCCTAAGTCAGCTTGACTGATTGGATGTCAATGCTGAAAGCAACTTGGGAGAATGTAAAAAAGGTGCTGGTAAAAGCGGCACAGAGCTATAAGAAACAGGCAGGCAAACACCGGGCCCTGCAAAGGCCATTCCAGGTGTGGGAGAAGGTTTATCTCTCCACCAAATACTTGAGGTTAAGGCTCCCTAGTAAGAAGTTGGGGCCAAAATTCATGGGCCCGTTCCCCATAGTAAAGGTTATCAACCCAGTCACAGTGCAACTGAAGTTGCCCCGACTGCTAGGGAAAATACACAAGGGTTCCTGGGAAAGGATCTCTAAGAGTGTTTGGAATCCTTCATTTCAAAAAGCCACCCACAGCCTTTTCAAAGCAGCATTTAAATGTTTAGCAAGTAATTTGGACGGAGGCATCATTTAAGATGTTATAGATAGCTATAGAGAACTAGAATCCAGAAGAACCTAAAATCTATAGGAGAATCTCAATCAGGGGTGTCCAACCTTGGTAATGTTAAGACTTGTGGACTTCAACTCCCAGAATTCCCCAGCCAGAATTCTGGGAGTTGAAGTTACAAGTCTTAACGTTGCCAAGGTTATAGATATCCCGATCTAGAAATTCAGTGTAAAATCTATAGATAAATATATAGAGCAATGCTGTACCTATACATCAAAAGCCAAATAGGGATAGTTGTAAAGAGGAGGGGAACTCACATTTAGAGCAGAGCCAAATATAAAGAGAGCAGTCTGACCAACTCCCAGGTAAACAATATGCCAAATTGCATGTTAAATCTTTGCAAAAAGCAGTTTTTTTTTCCAGCTGTGTGGCACCAACCCAACATTTGCCCCAGAATTGCATCTTGAAATTATGTGCTTTCACTGTTGGCTAAATGTTTAAGATAACTTTGGTAGCTTTCCATTGGATTTGCCACACCTAATTTGTCTTGCATCAATGCCACCCACCACCTCCTTTACAATCCATTTAGGAAAGAATGAAACTGAAACCCATTTCTACTAATTCTGGGTGGATATTAGCTTTTGAAAAATTCCCTCATTAAACTTAATATAGGCAAGTACCAACAGATTCAAAAAAAACCCAATTCCTTTCATGGACATTGTGTATCTGGTTGTGTGATTTGCATCCAGCTGGCTGCAAGATTCTCCTTGGCATAATTTGAAAGTCTTTTATTCTCTGCCTCGTTAACTAAAAGCATATTCTTTCCCTTTCAACATGGGAGCCAGGAATTATCATTTATAAAGGATGGTTATTGATGTATACCTATCCCACTCCTGCCCTCTTTCTGCAGAAGAACCCATAACTTATTCCTTCTCCTCAAGTTCATTAGCAGGGAAACCTTTTATGTGGAGTTCTAGTTTATCATCCACAAGATTTGTTTTGCAAATCTGTACCCCTCGGTTAGACATTTGATCTGTTTTCACAAAGCATATTTTTATTTCGCCCTCCCCAAGTTTTCAACATTGGAATGATAAGACCAAAATGCAAACGAGATGCAAGAAATTATAATAAACATCGAGGACCACACGGAAAACTCGGACTGGTTCGGGAAAATCTTGGACTGGTTCGGGGGTTCGGGAGAATCTCTAGCAAGGATTCTGCATGGTTCGGAGGACCCCCAAATCCCACTCCCGGCTGACCCTGCCCACCCTGCCCCTCCCCTCCCACGCAGGAATCCCCACGCAGCCCATTTTGGATACAGGTAAGTGCAGGATGAGCGAGGAGGCTCAGGGAGGGCAAAAAACGGGCCTCCCAGAAGTTTGGAAAGACTAGAAATGGGCCCGTTTATACCCTCCAGAGGGCCCCTCAGAGCAGAGGTTGGTATTCAGCAGGTTCTGACCAGTTCTGGAGAACCGGTAGCAGAAATCTTGAGTAATTCGGAGAACTGTCAAATCCCACCTCTGACTGGAGATTTTACAGTGTCCTTCCCCTGCCACACCCACCAAGCCACGCTCACAGAACTGGTAGTAAAATAATGTGAATCCCACCACTGCTCCAGAGCCCAGGGAGGCTGTTTTCACCCTCCCAGAAGCTCAAGGAAACCCTCCTGAGCCCGGGGAGGGCCAAAATGTGTCCCCCCCACCGCCACTGTGGTGCAGGAGGCCGACTAGGCCTCGCCCACCATGGCCACACCCACCCAGCAACCAGGCAGAGAACCCCTTGCTGTAATTTTTGAAGCCCACCCCCCTGACCCCATTCCATTCCCCTAAAGAAAGAATAACAACTTCAGGTTTATTGGCAAGAATTCCTCGGGCAACATTTGGCTCTTAAGCAAAGAAGCACTTTATTGCAAATGGATATTTATACAAGGAAGTCAGTACAATATGAAGAGTGGTACAGAGTTAAGCCTGCAAAGGAAGAAAGCCAGAGGAAGAAAATGGCGCCTTCTTCTCCAGCAGGTGGAATGAAATTTTTGGACAACAGGGTGTTTGCTGTCAGCATCCCAGCAGCCATTAGCAGAGTAGGAAAGGAAGGTCACTTCCTCTCAAGGCTTAAGAGTGAACAACCTTGTACATAACAAACAAGGGGAGTCCAAGCTCACAATGCTGGCATCTAATAGTGGGGGGAAATACGAAAAATTCTGGGCCAGGCTGCTTCTCTCTATTTTCCAGTGACAGCTGGCTTCTCTTGGCGAGTGATGGGAATGTTCCGTTCCACTGCAGTTTTAGTGGGGCCGGTGATGGAGAGCACCCCATCTGGAGACAAGGCAGAGGTGATAGCTGCCGGATCAACCCCCTTGGGGATGGTGTAGCGACGGTGGAACTCCCGGGAGATGTAGCCGTGTTCGTCCTGTAAAGAACAGAGCAAGACAGGACAAATGAATGGAGAAACAGGGAAGCGATGGCCTGATACTACTACAAGTCAAGGGTCTTCAAACTTGGCAAGTTTGAGACTTGCGGACTTCAACTCCCATGATTCCTGAGCTAGCATGAGGAGGAATTCTGGGAGTTGAAGTCCACAAGTCTTAAAGCTGTCAAGTTTGAAGACCCCCTGCTATAGGTAGTCCTCGCCTTACAACCACAATTGAGGCAAACATTTATGTTTGCTAAATGTGACACTTAAAATGAATTTTGCCGCTTTCTTGCCACCATTGTTAAGCGAATCATTGCAATTGTTCAGGTAGTAACATGTTGGTTGTTTAAGTGAATCTGGCTATTACAAAGTCTGCACTACTATTACTGTTAATCTTCTCATCACTCCTTATCACCCATATCTCCTCCTACTTCTGACTGTATGACTGTAACTTTGTTGCTTGTATCCTTACAATTTATATTGACTGTTTCCTAGTATGATTTGATTGCTGACTGTATCCCTATGAGTATCATTAAGTGTTGTGCCTGATGATTCTTGACTCTTGACGGACGTATCTTTTCTTTTATGTACACTGAGAGCATTTGCAGCAAGACAAATTCCTTGTGTGTCCAATCACACTTGGCCAATAAAGAATTCTATTCTATTCTATTCTATTCTAAATTCTAGTCTATTCTTCCCCATTAACTTTGCTGATCCAAAAATTGCAAAAGGTGATCATACAATCAGTTGCCAAGCATCCAAATTTTGATTATGTGATGCTGCAACTGTCATTAAGGGTGAAAAATGGTCACAAATCACTTTTTTCAGTGAGGCTGTCACTAAAAGAACTGTTGTAAGTCCAGGACTACCTATACGGGACGTCTTTCAACATGCAAAGTTTTCAAGGTTTTGCAATCAGCAAACCTTTCCTGACCCATCTTTTCAAATTAAAGTATCTTTAAGAAAAAACAAAAAAAGCATGGTATACTCTTGCTACAAAGGACATTTCCGACGCTATCTTTATTCACTCGGTCCCACAAGGTTCCTCACAACCTCCCTCGACATCATCAGAAAACAAAAATAGCCCTTGTAGCATTGTGGAGTTTTGTCCAGATGTGGGTCCACTCCACCTACTGTGGAGAGACAAGCAAGAAACAGATTGAAAAAGAACATGTTACTTTCCTTTGGGGAAGTGGGGATTTTGTAAAAGGCTGAAACCACAAAGGTAGCCAATGCTGCAAACTTACAAGCAATATGTAGGTGATATTTCAGGAAAGCATCCAAAAGATCTCCCCAAAATGTAAATATTCCACTGGTGCCTAGAGCAACAATTTTTACTCGAAACTGGGTGGTATCCCAGGTGTAATACACGCTTTGTCTCTAACTGCAGCACACACAAAAAAAGTTTAAATATGGGGTCGTCACATAATTTAGACCATCCCATCTCCCATTGCTAGAACTCTCAACAAGTAAAACTCAGAAATATTTCAAAGTCCTTTTTGTGTTGCACGAATGATTTTAGACTATTAAGGCCCCAGTTAGTACAACACAGATTAGGCTAAAACAAGACAATCTGTAGTTCAGCATATTAGGAAAATCAAGACAACATGTTAAATCATAATATGTTTGAACCCAGTTTATATGAATGCAGATAGTCCTTAACTTACAACAGTTTAGTGACCATTCAAAACAACAACCGCACTGAAAAGTGACTTATGAAGGGTTTCACACTTACGACCATTACAGCATCCCCATGGTTACAGGATCAAAATTCCGACACTTGGCAACTGACTATGATGCTTGCAGTGTCACGGAGTTATGTGAACCCCTTTTGTGACCCTCTGAGAAGCAAATGGGGAAATCTGGGATGACCCGGAGTGTAACACAAACGTAACAAAATTGGAGATAAAACGTATTCAAAAATAGTCTTCAAAAGAAAGCAATACAGTCTGAACTTAATGAGCAGGTAGAGGTGAAATAAAAAACTAAAACAAACTACAGTGAAGGAATTTCCACAACGGACCAGGATATCTCCAACTTCAAGGAGATAAAAAGGCACAGTCTGTTGGAAGGACACCAACCAAGATAACGTCAGCCCAAAATAACACGTTTTGCTTCTGGCAACGCTGTGTTTGAAACGCCCCTCCTCTATACTATTCTCCCCAGCTACAACCAATGAGGGGGATCGTGACTGCTTCCTCTTTCATAAGCCAAGTTGTTTCCTTCTCCATTCCTCCCTGTGTGCCCTAGGATAGAGAGGGGATGGGCCTGGTTCTTCCTCTGACTGCCCAGCTGGCCTCTGCCCTTCCCCAACCACCCGAGTCACACCTCCACTCCGTTGGGTTTGACTCTAACAAGGGCATGACAAAATCATAGTCACTTAACTCTGTTACCAACTTAACTGCATTCACTTAATGGTGGCACGAAAGGTCGTAAAATGAGGCAAAACTCATTTAACAAGTGCCTCACTTAGCAAGGGAAATGTTGAGCTCCACTGTGGTTGTACATTGGAGATGGCTTGTACCCGTGTTTCCCCCAAAATAAGACCCTGTCTTATATTTATCTTGCCACCAAAAAAGGCACTAGGTCTTATTTTCAGGGGATGTCATCCACTCACTAACCTCACTTGCGCGTGTCGCCCCAGGCCTCCTTTTCACTGTCAGAGGCCTTCAATAACTTCTTCTGCGGCCTGCAAGGCTTTCCTGAAGGCCTCTGCATCTGATAACAGAGCTCTGGAACAATCCAGAGCTTTGTTATCAGCTATAGAGGCCTTCAGGAAAGCTTTGCCAGCCTTGCTGGCTGCAGAAGAAATGGGCCTACGAGGCAGGTGTCGGGGTGTGCGAGACCTGGCTACAACTATAGTAAGTAGTAGGGCAGCTCCACCCCCTCCCATTCCCACCCTAGCTTAATTTTTACCTGTGTACTCTGGAGTGGGCAGGATCTTAATTAGGGCTTATTTTGGAGGGTAGGGCTTATATTGGGTGCATGTGTAAAAATCAAGCTAGGACTTAATTTCAGGGTAGGTTGTATTTTCAGGGAAACAAGGTATATAAATTGTAGCTTATTAACCCAAAACTAGGATTAAGCCCTTTGTGCAAGATCAGCCATTTTATATGCAATCCATAAATGCATCTTTTTGTGTGAAAATGCCAAGAGACGCAAATTCAATTTGAGTTCCAAGTTAGACACAGGCTTAAAAAAGTGGCTTTAAAAAATGTTTTCACAGATGCCAATCTCAATTTTTTTTTACCAGGTAAAGGAACAGAAGGTGTAAGAAAAGCTACATACCGGACGTTCCTCGTGTTTGGCGTGGACTTCGATGTAATCACCCACCACCTTCACATGTATCTCTTCTGGTGAAAAGTGCTTGACATCCAGCAATACAGAGAAGTTATCCTTGTCCAGCTTCATCTGGAAGCAAGAAAGGTGAAAAAAAGTGGGTGAGAAACCACCAGCCTTTCTGAACCCAGCAGAGAACATTTGCTTGGGGAGTTTCTGCAGACCCACACAATTAAACGGTATTGGTTTTTAAGCCAAGGGTGTCCAACCTTGGCAACTTTTAAGACCTGTGGACTTCAACTCCCAGAATTCCCCATGGCTAGCGAAGGAATTCTGGGAGTTGAAGTCCACAGGTCTTAAAAGTTGCCAGGGTTGGATACTCCCTGGTTTAAGACGTTTCCACTGGAAATGGATTCCACCCATAATTTAATCCCAATCAGAAACAGTTTTATGTCTATACAGTACACACCCAGCCCACATTTTCATATTTATAAATTTGTGGCTCTTTAACACCTAAAGGCTACCAGGCAGGTTTGAGCTTAAACTTCTATAAACCATATTTGAACACTTTTCTCATTAGCCTCAGCAGTAGGCAGAATGCAAGATTTCCTCCCATCGCTCTCAAGGAAATCAAGCAATAGAACCAACTGAAAAATATGAGCATGCAAGTATCTCATAGATGCAGAGATTACAAGCATGCCATCACTGTAGGGCACCTGTGTTTTTTCAACAACCAAGCAGAAACCACCCACTAGATTATGTAAGGTGGGACCACTGCCTGTTACCAGGCAACAGCCATCCATCAAAAAGCTATTGGTCCAATGCCTCTCTTGCTAAAATACAGGTGTTAAAATCCAAGCCTTTGTAATTAGACAATGATTTACAAATGGAGTTTTTGTAAGAGTTTCTGGTCACCCAAAGACCTGCATAAATTGGGGGCACCCATTATTTGCATTGGTCAATTCATTCTGAAGAAAACAAGAACCCATGTTCCTTGAATGGCTTGCTCAGGTTGCTTTCTGGCTTTAAAAGTTTGGCAGAGGTACCTTGAAACTAAACTTAACAGCCTCCTTGCTGCACAAATCTTCATGTTCAGCAATGGAAAGAAGGCAAGAAGTCAAACTCCAGGGAAAGTCGAGGTGCTCTGCACCCAAAGGCCCCCCCACAGTAGGATTTGGGGAGGGTGGGAACATCATCTATCCTGCTCAGGAGAAAAGTGTTGTGACTTTTTAACAGGTGAGTTTGGAGAGTGCACTACAGAAAAAAACTGCAGCTGGCCAAGTTCATGCAATGCATCGACCTTAACCAATGACTGACAAGCCACCATACTTAACAGTAACCAAAGTTCACAAGCCAAGTTGCGACGGGGCCAAGGAACAGCTTCCTGTTCCCGCAAGCTTTCTAGTCTAGGGAGCCAAGGGCAGGCAGCCATCCAACAGGATAAGGTTTCTTCTACCAAGCCTTTAGGGCTGCTTGTATGCCAGTCCTTCGGCCTGGAGGGCAATTTGCTTGGCATTGTCCTTTCGGCTCGGCCAGGCAAAAGAATGTTACCATAATAGGCAAGCGGACTCTCCCATTCCGCCTGCCACCCCCTTTCCACGCCCCTCCGCTCCACTGCTTCCTGTCACACTCATCCGTCCGGCCCTTTTCTCCCCTTTGCCCGCTAGATGCGCGCAGCCCCCTTCCCACGGCGCCCTCGACACGTGAGTCCACGGCCTGGGCCGGGTGGGGAACAAACCCACCCGCGCGACCGGCCAAGCTCCGACATAATATTTGGAATAGACTCTCCTGCTCGAGCAGGGGGGTTGGACTAGATGACCTCCAAGGTCCCTTCCCACTCTGTTGTTCTTAAGGCCGGTCCCAGCGCGCCCAGACGGGCAGCCGATTCCACCATTCGCTCCCCGCCCAAGACCCTCCCCAGGCCAGCCCCGGAAAAATAAAAAAAAAACCCTTCCAGTTGCCCTCTGCGCCTACCTCCGACAGCCCCGAGTCCGCCATGCTGGGCATGGAAGGGAAGCGCATGTAATAGGGGCAGAGGGTGGCCGAGAACAGGTCGCTCTCCAACAGCCCCTCGCCGAACCTCTGGTCGAAGAGACGAGGCGGGAAGAGCGAAGATAAGCCCATGGAGCGGCGGAGCCAGGGGTGCTGGATGACGATGTCCATGGCGCAGCAGGGAAAGGAAGCGGCGGCGGCGGCAGGTTCTGCAATAGCGACCCCAGCAAAGGTTCGAGTGCACCGCGAGACTCAGACGGCGAGACCCGGCCTGGGCGATTCCTTTTATAGGCACAAGCCGCCGCTCCGCCCACCCCGCCCGGGACTGGAACTCGCTAGAAGCCTCGCGCCTCTTCCCGCCCCGGCGCGTCGCTTCGGTCCCTGGAGGGCAGCCTCGCCTCCTCGGAAGCGGCTGCGGGGCGGGGACGCCCCCTCCGAGGGCCAAGAAGAGAGTAGTTGAAGGGGGCGGCGGCTGTTCCAGCTGTTTTCTGGCCCTTTGGCTGGCTCGGTGCGAAAGTTGGGTCGGGGGGCGGGGGGGGTCGCAAGTGGATCCGCAGAAAGTGGGGCGATTTATGGGAGGGGCTGTTTGCAAGCCTGGATTTGGGGATTAGGAAAAGGGGTCGTTTGTGTTTTTTTCCCCCAGTTTATTTCAGACGTTACTTTATGCACGGAAGCCAAATTAACACGGGAGAAAAAGAGCGAGCCCTGCCCTTTTAGACAAGGAAGCACGATGACGGTTAATGTTCCGGACGGCGGAGACGGGACGGCCGCTAGAGGACAGCAAGGTGGGGTTATGGTGCCACGTAGAGGCCATCCGGGGTACTGCAACACAGATTTGATAATAGTCACAGCCGCCGTAATTTGATCTATTGCTCGAGGGATGGCTGTGACTCACCCCTTTTTTTGGGGGGGGGAGGGGGAGACATGGTGATTCCATCGTTTCTTCTTCAAAACAGCTTTTCTGAAAGGGTATCAGAAGGCAGGAGGGCATCTGCAGATGTTCAGCTGCAGTTATGCGCATCCTAACACATTCTGGGGTTTGCACAACTGGGCGAAGGAGCAACAGAGAAGCTTTTCCGTTGTGGCGTTTGCCTTATGGAACTTCCCCCCCCCACCCCCAATTGGCCCCCATCGGGCTGACCTTCCAGAAAGTCCTTAAAATCTGCTTTTGTCATCAAGCCAGGGATTTCATGGACTGTGTAGTAGAGGCTGCCAAATAATACCATTGTTCATAAGTTTTGGAATTTGTTTTCCTGTAAATTGTGTGGGGTTTTTTTGTCTTCTATTTATAGTTGTTAATTACATTTTTTATGGTTTTGTTTTTCAATCATTTTGATTGTTTGGTTTTGGTTATTAACTGTATGCAACACCCAGAGTCACATGTCAAAATTATAAACCTCATAATGAAACAAATTAACCCTAGAGATCTTAGTTCATGCAGCATTCTCATCCACACCCAAACTAATCATGGTTAACATTGGCCAGGTTTAGCATGTCCTAATACAGTGGATAATTCTGGAAGAGAACTAGGTTAAGCGTGTTTTGTGTACCCAACCAATGCCTCTAATGCAGAAAGGTCAGGGTTGTATAGTAAATTATTTTGGTATGGGATGTGTTTTCATTCTAAGTTTTTATTGATGAAATATTTTACAGCAGAGGTATCCAACCTTCATAGCTGTAAGACTTGTGGACTTCAACTCCCAGAATTCTGGAAGTTGAAGTCCACAGATCTTAAAGTTGCCGAGTTTGGGGACCCCTGCTACAGATTAAGCTTTGTATAAGACAAATCAATAAACCAGAAGGGGATAAAACAGGAACATGTTCAAGACCTGTTTGAGCAGGGGGTTGGACTAGAAGACCTCCAAGGTCCCTTCCAACGGTTACTCTCTTACAAAAAAAGTGGACTTTCTACAACTGAGTAATACTTTGACCCACCCTGACAATCGTTTTAAGAAACAAGGTCACCATGGAAAGACTCCTCCTTAAAACACAAAGAGTTTGCATTTATTTTAGGAAACACAGTGCTAGTTTTTAATGACAAGAAGGTCACGTTTTCCCAAAACCTACCTTCTCCATCAAAAATACAAGAGCCAGATGGCTCTCAGGGAGTACACTCAATCCCAAACTTGATGTGTTCCAGATGTGTTATCCTCTTGCCCCAGTAAGAATGACCCATGATTCTGGACTGGAGTGCCAAAATGAGAATAATTGTTCTCGGTTAAGATCAAGGGTCTTCAAACTTGGCAAGTTTAATACTTGTGGACTTCAACTCCCAGAATTCCTGATCTAATATGACTGGAGGAGGAATTCTGGGAGTTGAAGTCCACAAGTCTTAAAGCTGCCAATTTTGAAGACCCCCCCTCATGAAGCCCAAAACTACATAGTGTTTCACTAGCAAGGGAAGATACTTGCTTACGCATCTTTTTGCTTGATCAAAGACATCTCACACCCAGAGTGATTAGCAACATCAGCAGTTTCTGTGTGGAGGGTGGAGATATAAGCACCCTTGGAGGTAGAATCAGGAAACAGGACATGCCAGGGGCCACCTGGGAGATGAATCTGGGGAGGCTTGCTGGAAACATATAAGTGTGTTTGCCATAAGTCTATGGAGATTCTCTGTCATCCAGGTCATGGCTTTCCCAAAGGTGCTTTTTCAAGAGGCAGCTGGACTTTCTGGTTTTTCTTTGAAGATGTTTCGCTTCTTGCATGAGAAGCGGAATGTCTTCAAAGCAAAACCAGAAAGTCTCGTTGCTTCTTGAAAAAGCACCTTTGGGAAGTGTTTGCCATATTGTTTTCATAGAACCTTGCATTCTGCAGAGCTAGTTCATACTTATTAATTTACCGCCTATCTTCATACAATGATTAACCAGTTCGTAAACAGACCTAGTAGAAGCATTAACATGACATGTCCATTTGGATTGATGTTAATTATTTTTGCTGATAGCTTAGCATGTGATTTTGGCCTGACCCAATGGGTTAATTTAGTACTTTGGTCTACTGTATTAGTAGATAATACTCAGCAGCTAACTTTAGCAGGCTGAATGAGGGCAATTTATATTTTGAGATTCTGAATCATGCCAAGCCCCCATCCAAGCTCCTCCTCAGAAATTTAATTCTGTTTTTCTTTTTTAAATCCAGAGGAATGTAACTCAGCTGAAGGATACATAAAGCCAGCCCTGAGACTGCATGGTTTGGGTCACCCCACATTGATTATGTGCCATCAAATTGGTGTTGACTCTTAGCAACCGCATCATTGCTCAGTTTACATTCCTGTGTATATATGGCAAAGCCAGGCAATTGATTTAATTCAGTACTGTAAACCATTGTTAAGTGAGTAAATGTGTTTTGCAAAGTAGGTGGCTAGAGCTGCCTAGCCCCACCCCCACCCCCCACCCCCCCAAAAAATCTGGCTAAAATGAGTTTGGATAGATTATGATGTTGTGGGTTTGAGTGGTGCAGTGGCCTAGAGGCAGAGTTCTCCCATCACAATCAGGAGGCTGTGAGTTCGATCCGAGGTAGAGGCAGATATTTCTCTCAATGAGAGAACTCTGCATTGGCAACAGGAAGGGTATCCGGCCAGTAAACACTCAGCTCCATTCAGTTGCCTGGATTCCACCCCTCAAGGTGTTATGGGATCATTAAAAGAAGATGATGATGGTGATATTGTGAGTTTCATGAGTGTTTAGTGTTTTTTTTTAATTAACTTACTATATGATTTTGCCTACAATTTATCTCTCCAAACAGTGAGATCAGTGCTCAATAACAACAGCAGAGACACAAGGAGAGACTCTTTGCTCCTCTTTCTACTACAGGTAGTCCTCAACGTATGACTATTTATTTAAGGACTCTTCAAAGTTATGACAACGTTGCAACCGTTGCAAATACATGCCAGTTGCCAAGCACCCAAATTTTGATCATGTGACTATGCAGATGTTGTGGCAGTCATTAGTTCAAGGACCAGTCATAAATCATTTTGTTCAGTGCCGTTGTAACTTTAAATAGCAATAGCACCTAGACTTTTACAGCCCTCTCTAAGCGGTTTGCAGAGTCAGCATAATTGCCCCCAATAACAAACTGGGTCCTCATTTTACCCACCTTGGAAGGATGGAAGGCTGAGTCAACCTTCAGCCTGGTGGGATTTGAACCGCCAAATTGCAGACAGCCGGCAGACAGCAGAAGTAGCCTGCAGTAACTGCATTCTAACCACTGCACCATGTGGCTCTGGGTTACTAATAGTTACTAAATGGATGGTGGTAAGTTGAGTACTATCCATACAGTATCCCCATTGATTTTCCAGGCCAGGGAAAAAGCTTGGTCTAAATCTTAGAGCATCCACATGCCTATAAAATAATATAATCTTGTTATTTCAGGGGGGGGGGGGGGGAGGGAAAGCTCTACAGTAATTCCATGCTTTCTCAAAGTACACCATTTTGTCATGTTCTCATCCTAAATCTGTTAGAGCATGTCATGAAGCAAATTTCCCACAGGCCAAGCCACATGGGGATGAAACTGTTCCACCCAGCCCTGGAGCAAACAGCTTTCTTAATTTGCCAAGCAAACAATCCTTCTACAGGTTTTTAGAACTCTGAAAGAAGAATGCACCTGGATGCATTTTTAATGTACTCTTTCATGCAAAAACTTGCTTTCTTTGTGCTAAGGCACTTACTGTTCTAACACGCTAAGAACAAATTACAGAGCTAGTAATAAGCCTTCTCCAGTAGTTTGTCTAGTCCAGGGATCCCCAAACTTGGCAACTTTAAGACTTGTGGACTTCAACTCCCAGGAGAATTCTGGGAGTTGAAGTCCACAAGTCTTAAAGTTGCCAAGTTTGGAGACCTCTGATCTCATCCTTCCCTCTTCTGTCTTTCCTCAGGGCCTTCAGTCTATTGCAGTGTTTCTCAACCTCATCAACTTAAAAGATGGGTGGACTTCAAATTCCCAGAATTCCCCAGTGGAAACATCTACACAAAAAAACTTAGCTATATGTCTGATTATTATTGCACAGTACAGTACTAATATTTTTTTCCATTCTAACTTAAGAGTTCCCACTGCAATAAAACCCTGAAGTATGGATTTTTCTTATTCTTAGTCACTTAATTTGTAGCGCTTCCAAGCAAATACAAAGACATTCCATTTAAATTCAATTTTTGCCCATGGGATAGAGTAACTGAAACTACCACACTTACTTTATTACACTGACCACTATGCCAGACACTTGCTGTGGACTCTAACCCCACACCTCATTAAATATCTTGGTCAGTTTTATTTTCAGATTCAGAT